TTAGCTATCTCAACTACAACCCGAGTCATAGGTTAAGAATCACGTGAAGTTTTAGAGCTAAAGCTAGCATTAGTGTCATGGTTAGTAGAGAGATAAAGTCTGGGGTCCACTGAGGTCTGTGTCTGCAATAGTGATGTTAGAAGGGCAGGCTTCAGAAAGAAGTGTCTCAGGGTTCTTTCATGAGATAAGAATGCTGATCAAAGGCTCAGCCCACCTCTCCATCATGTCAGAGCTATGGTTAGTGCTATGAGACCTCAGGGTACAGTTGGAGAAATGTCTGCAAGTGGGCTGCCAAATGGAAAAGAAATATCTCTTGCCAGCTTCAATCTGGAAACGGCTTGGTCTTCCTAGACTAAGCACAACCCATGGATAGATTTTGGGTCACCACATATTGCATGACATCATACGTTTTTCTTTACCAAGTTTTCATTATTTAGAGTGTTTTTCTTATTTATCATCCAGGTTTTCCAGGTCTTGGGATTTCAAGCATGACTACCGACACAGAATACATGTTCTGGGTGCATGACTCTATCACACATCTTGTATCAGTAATTCTGTCACTGTCATTCCCTCCACCAGGACTCTTTAATAAGTCTGCAATAGGGTGGCACAGGTATAATAGGATTCTCCATGTAATCTCAAGCTCTTTCATAATTTTCTAAAGAAAACATGTAAGAGCTTTGGAAATCCCTATTAGTGTTACTACTGTTAAACCACTGTGACACAAGAGACAAACTTCCAGAGGCCAAAAGGAACAGCCTCTGGATCTTCAAATCCATCCAGACCACAAGGTTTTAAATTCTGGGTTCTACTGTTTAGAGATTATAAAAAGGATTGAACATAAGTGTTTTATTCAAGCCCCCAAGTATCAACTTTAGGAAAACAGAACAAATGATTTTTAGGCTGAATTTAAGGCCTTAGACTTAAGAACTGGCCAAGATTTTGCTTATAAAATTACTATTTCCTTATTTGTGTGCATCCTTTTGTGAATAAGCAATGCAGAATGTACATCCTTCCTAAACACGGTTACTTTTCCAAAGCTTAAATAATTTTTACAATATACAAATGGGCACATTCAAATTCAAAATCCTGGGTGTTTGCTACATTAAGAATGAATCTTAAATTAGGAAGAATGCAATCAAATTTCCTTTGGAATTCAAAATTCATTTTTGAATTCATCTCATGTCTTTGAGTCTCCACAAAACATATAAAGGATTCTGTACTTCCCAGTTTGAAATAATTGTAGAGTACATGGCTCTTTTCTGATGTCAACCTGAACGTGTCAGCCAGCTGTCTGTCTGTTTTACTGACTCAGTTCATTTAAAATATTTTATGCAGGACCACCCATGTAAAATAATTAGGAATTTAAATATACAATGAATTGTTGGAGAAAATAATGAATTCTTGGATGTCAAAATATATCATCTCTTTGTAAGGAAAAAAAGGGAAATAGAGAGTGAATTTAATATTTAAAGAAGACAGTAATAGGCCACAGTCTCCTCCTAGCAGATGAACTCCTAGCAGCAAGGTACTAAAATGCACGCTGCAGTACACAGATAAAAGAAAACATATAAAAGCTCTACTTACCTCTGAAATTAATATTTGTTGTTGCTTTAGCCAAGGAGCTGACATAGATGGGACACTCAAATATGCAAATTACTTTGTAAAGTTATCTCATGCTTCTTTCGTTTCCATAAAAATGGGCTTCACAGTAATAAAAACAGAATCTGTTTTAAAAAGATCACTGTCCGAAGTTTCCACTCTTGTGGGTAAGCCAGTGCTGAAAATCATGCAATGTAATTGCAGGATGCTGAATGACACACACGAATGCAAGGCAGAAGTTCTACTTTCCCTCCACCCTCATGTCCTGTCCCTTTTATTGTGATAGCCACATCATGTAGTTGCTTTACAGACAAAAAGGTCATACGTGGATAGTGACTGAGAACCTTTCCAGTCCTGTGTATCTATGAGTGCAGACACAGTACTAAATGCACTAAAAAACCCAACCAACTCTTTCAAAAGTGACAGTAATATAAATGCATTGGATCTACTTGCCTTGCCTTATAATCAAGGGAATGGTTGTCAATTTCTCCATCTGAAATTTGGTAGAAAGAATAAATTAACCATGTTTTGAATGAATAAAGTATAGAGGACTAAACAGATAGAACTTCTAATTTGGACGATTTATTTCAAAAAGCTATTTGAAGGCCAAGCTGCATCAGTAATGCATAAAGTAGAGAAGCAGTAACTCCCAAGGTTGCTGTATTGATGTTTTCCATATTCCCATATTCCTAATCTCATACTCCATATTTTACTAAATATATATTACAGAAAATTAGATAATGAAAGTTAGAATTGCAATATTAACATCTAAGTTATAAACGGGGATAAATAATGGAATTGGTGTAAAATAAATATATCATCACAGTGAGGAAAGGGAAGTGCAATAAAATATTTTTAGAGCCATAAGATGGAAGCTTTATCAAGCCACCATGACTTAGGTTTCATTGGTAATGTTTTCCATTCCTTGCTGCAGACAGCAAATAAGAGAGTTTGAGTCCCAGTTATCATAAACAATCTTCAAAAGCTCAAAAATTAAATGCTGCTGTGTGTGAAGCATTTAAATGGGTTTTAGAAAACAGGGGGAGATATGGTCACATGCCAGTTTGGAGACCACATCTTCATAAAATAATTATTTTTTAATATATTTTACATATACTGATTAATATGAAAGTTGGTAAATGTGGAATATAAGAGATTCTGTCACAGCATATGTATTTTACCAGTGCAAACTAAATTACCTGAAAGTAGGCTATAAACAAACAGAAATGTTTGCTCAGCATGTACTTAAGCTGTGGAAATGTGGAAGAGGACTGTATGGTTTCCCCAGCATAGAATAATTATTTTCTCCTTAACTAGTCTTCCTCCTTCTCCTGCTTCAAGGTTGAGGAGAAACAAAGACAGATACTGAGACACTGGAGTGTGTCCAAACAAGGGCAGCAAAGCTGTGAAGGATTATGGGGAACAACCGAGGGAAATGGGATTGACTGGAGAGGAAGAAGCTCAGGAGGCCTTATTGCTCTCTACAACTCTTCAAAAAGAGGCTGTGGCAAGTTGGCAGTCAGCCTCTTCTCTCAGGCAGTGACAGGACAAAAGGTAATGGTCTCAAGTTGCATCAGGAGAGGTTCAAGTTGGATACTAGGAAAAAATTTTTCTTAGAAAGAGTGGCGAGACACTGGAATATGCTGCCGAGGTAGGTGATGGAGTCACCATCCCTGGAAGTGATCAAGAAATGTGGAGATGTGACACTCAGGACATGGTTTAGTAGGCATGGTGGGGATGGGCTCATGGTTGGACTAGGTGATCTTAGAGGCCTCTTCCAACCTTCTATTTGTTCTACATACAATAGAAAAAATACTGACATAGATAAGTAAAAGTGACAAGGACATAAGACTGGGGAAAAAAGCTGTACTGATAAACAGCCTTTTGGAGAGCTTTGGCTTCATTTCTGCTTTTAGGTGCAAAAGGTGTAAAAGATTTAAGACAGTGTAACATTCTGTTTATTTTCACATATATCTGAGTTTTCCTAAATTTTACCTTTTCACTGGCTTATCTTTTTTATTTTTAAACGTGCAAATTCTGTTAATTCTCATCCTTTGTGAATATGTTTGCCAATAATTAGCACACTTCCTGAGGGAAAATGTCAAAAACGTCTGCAAAACTTACTGGACTTCGTCCTAGACCCTGAAAATAGGCCATTAGATCTTTACTTTCTTGATAGGGTGACAGATGAAGCTTTGCAGCTTGAGAACTTGGCTAGGGACAGTGAGAAGTAATACCAGAACTCTGGCCAGACTCCAGAGACTCGATACATTAAGAGAGCTGGTAGAGAGCTGATTTCGCATCAATTTGATGAGTAACTGAGAAATGTTGGTTGGTCTGGTTTCTTCATGGCTTAGAGCCCACTTCAAGATGAAAACAGTTTCTTCTACAATGATAAAGAAGTAAAATTTGAGTAGGGTTACTCATCACAATGGCAGGAAGTAAGAGTAAGGCTTTTTTAATAGTAGAATGATTGAATAATGCATGCTGAAAGACCCTTTGGAAATCATCTGTTTTTTCCCCACAAAAGTAGGCCCAACTTCAAGTTAGCCCAACATCAGAGTTAGATAATGTTGTCCATGGTTTCCTTCAACCCAGGTTTCAACATATCTGAAGATGAGGATACCAATGCTTCATAGTTCCAATATTTGAGTACCTTCTCAGTGTGATTTTTTTTTCTTGTATTGAATTAGAACTCTCTGTGGGCCTTTTATCTTCGTGCAATTCTGATGGGAGTCTCCATATCCTTCATCTTCTCTATGCCCCCATATTAGCTAAAGATAGAAGTCCCCCCTTACCTTCCTCTTCAGTCTAAGGTAACCCATTCCTTTAACCCCTCCTTATTTGTTCTTCTCCAAATGATCGTATTGTTCTCCTCCAAATGATCATGTTCCTGGCCCTTAAGTATGGCACTATATCCCACGCACAGGGAGACCCAAAATACTCTGCTGAGCAGAGAAGAATAAACACTTCTCTTCATGTGCTGGGTACATTCATGCCCATACAGACAAACAACTGATTGGTCTTCTTGACCAAGAATGTGGCAACTCCTTTTCAGTTTATTGTCCAGTAGAACACCCAGGTTCATTTCAATAAAAATGCCTTCTGTCAACTCAGAGACAAGCAAACCTGCATGGGGTTATTCCACCTCAAGTGTTATACTTTCTAACGTTTTTGGTTCAGCATTTCCTTCAGCCTGTCAATGCCTTTCTGCCTGCCAGCTCTGCCTTCTAGCTGAACACTACTCTCAGTGTTAACAATGGACAGGAATTCATGATTTTGCTTTCGTATTATGAAAGAGTTTGAAGGTTTTTTCCTTACTCTCAGAATTCTTCCTTTACTCTTTTCTAGATAGAGGTGTATGTATGTAAAGGCAAAGATTGTAATGTCAACTGATGTATTTATTTATTTATTTATTTTGAACAGCTTTCAATAAAATTTGTCTCCTGAGTAAACATGAAACAAAAAAATCTGTTTGTTCCACAGGAGAATTCTGAAAATTTCTGCTGCCATGACTCACTGCAGCTTTTTAACAAAAGTAATCCCTTCCAGAGAAGGAAGCAACATTTTACTTTCTGCTTTAAGGGCATAATGTTAAAAAAGAATACTCAAACAACAGATTTATATTTTTATCAATATTTCACAAACAATAACTGGGAAGGAGAGAGTGGGAAGGACTGAAATAGGATTCTGACCATATTTCAAGAGTTCTCATTCTTTAAGAGAATGAGCAGAGAATGAGCTGAGAATGAGCTCACATTTAGCAACAGTGTAACAAGGTAAGACAGATGTGACTAAGATTCTGAAGTCCACAAATGAAACACTACTGCAGGTATGTTTTACAGGATACAGTGCTGTGCACTACGCCCAAGGGCCCCAGACCCCAGTTGCTGCTGGATCACACTGGGGATCCTCATCAGGATAGAACACAGGCACTGAACGTTTATAATAGTACTGAAGACGTGAGAGCAGCTTTTTCACCACATGAGGATGTTTTTCAGACAACTCATATTTTTCTTCAGGGTCACGAACAATATCAAACAGCCAAAGTCTCTTCGTTGGTGGATCATATGACTGAATCTGTGACTCAGTGAACAAAGATGGTGGAGGAAACCAATGACCGCAGCCTACAGAAACAGGAACAGATAGTTAATTCTCAGATACAGAGCAGCAGTGGAGAGGCAGAGTTATACTGTAAACGAGGAAATCTCCACGTTCCCCTGATAAGTCACTGGCCGGTGACTATAGCTGCACTGCTAGCCCAGCACCAGAACCTCTCTATTCCAAGCTACTTATATATAAGTTCTATTTGTACAAAAAAAGCCCTGCACCATTGAGATTCAAAAACTTGCATGTTGCTGAATTTCAAATCAAACAATTTCATGGACTTTCTTGTTGATAGTTTTTCCAGACCTGAGGAGGTCAAATGCATAAAACTTACTTGCAATATGAAAGAATATGATTGGATTTTAGAATGCCCCTTCTAGATTTGTGCATCTGACCAAAATCCTGAAAAGCTAGCAGAATAAGTAAAAGAAATGGTAATATATTAAACAGAAAAAAACTGTTTGGGATGGGGGGTAGATACAACACTAGGTGCAAGAATGTGTTACTTGTTACCTGGGTATCCAGTTAGTAACTTCCATTTTCCATGACGGATTGCTGCATGCATGGAGATATTGAAAAGTGTACTACCCAACGGAAAAGAATTGATCTGTGGTAAAGATGTCCTGTTGTCAATGCCAAAACCTTAATGAAATAGTAAATTAAGTTATGTACATAGCATATAAATGAAGTCATGTTTAGAATTCTGATGGAAAGCAAAGCAGTATGATTCATTTATTTCTACATATTGAATACAGAATTTGTCATATGTACATACAAAGATCCATGCTAAAAATTCACTGGAGATATTTAACTCTTGGAACTTAAACTGCAGTCCAGAAAGTGCTTTGATTTCTATAGAGAAAGTAACTTCTGAGTCCAGACAACAGGACTCATCTCATACACAGATATCATATGTTTATCTTATATGAATGCTTACTCTAAATTTGTTCATAGGACTTAGAAGACTCCAGGATAAGTGCTATTACTGCTAATTCTGTTGGATCACTCCAGAAAGCAAGCTAGATCTCAACCTGTATCCACACACAAGAGAGCCGATTCTGTGGAATGACTGGTTACATTCAGACAGATGTACATCTGTCAACATCTATGGCAGAACACTGAGAGCCTGTGAAGCATGTCTTCATGGAGTCTTTGGTAGAAGAATTAGCTTATGACATGACCCCATAATCCAGAACTGTAGCAAACTTTCAAATTTTATCTATGCACTCATTCCCTCTCAAGAGGCATATTTATATGTTCTTTACATGTAGCTCAGAACAAAAAATGTACACGTATACACTAAGGATAAGGAGATAAGTTCCGTAATGGAACAAGGAGAGATTCAGACACTCCAGGCGGACCCAAATCTTCAGCCATCTTGCATATTGGCTTTCACAAGAAAGCCATGTTTACAAAAAATCTAAGAATTTTCAACAATTCTACCAGCCGATACCTGCTTACAAAAGAACTATTATACAGCAAGACTGTAATTGGAATAGAAACAAGACATGAGGAGAGGACAGAAACGATTTTGGATTTCTAGCATTTTTCAAGAGATACTTTCAACCAATTTGGGGAATTCAAAGGACTTGACAGATTTCTGTCTTTGTAATAAAAAGAGCAATTTATGAGAGGTGTAGTGGCCATGTGCAATCCAATCAGAAGTAATGCTACAGGATTCTAAAAACATTTGAAAAGGAAATGACTGGATATAATAATTCCTCTGTTTTTATTTTTGTGAAGGTCCTGCTATGTTTCTGTTTTATTACTGGGCATCATACCATTACTTAGTTTTCTCTTAATAAACATTTCTTGCAAGTACCCAAATTCTCTGTTTACATCAGATTTGTATAATGTTCCTGGATAAATAAGGCCATAAAACATGTTTAGAATTTGCACGCACAGATTAAGGAGGGCTGAGCTTAGCTTACATCATGAAATACTGAAGTTGATGGAAACAAAAAAGCACCATGCCTCCTTTCAAAAAAAAAATACTATATAAGCAATAGAAAAAATTGTAAAAATAACCTAAAGAATATCTTCTGGAACATAAATCTAATGCAGTCATGTGATGCCCCTATCAGACAAAAACAGTCTGACGATTTATATTGGCTGCTTTTCCACATCATTACACCACATATTATTCTGTCATACCGATTTGCTAATGGGAAAACTCATCTTCGCCTTTCACTTATTTAAAGAGTGCAACAAAGGACATCTAGCAGATCAAAAAAACACAGCTATGTTTTTTAAACATTACATCTCAAAAGTACATGGTCTAACAGAAAGATCTAAAGGTTTAGCATCCAGAATATGCTTCTGACTGTTACAGTGCATGAAGCAACAGCACTGCACAATATAAATGATTTAAAATACTTCAAATAAACAGTATGAAAGATTGCATTTTAAATATACCTTGCAAAAATATAGGTGATGAAACCAAACTAATCCTGAACTAAGAAATGCTTTTACCACAGCTCGGAGTTGAATTTGTTTGATGTAGTATTATCTTTGAGCAAAATTTACTGATGAGGAAAGATAAATGCATTCATGTTGAGCTATTATAAATAGAACCCTGTCAGTCACATTGACACTCCCATTTTTATATGCTTATCTTGTGCCAAAGAGATGTGCAGTCTATTATTCAACTAAGCAAATTACTTCATAGGCAATAACAGTCAACTTCTGTCAGATATACTGGCAACAGAGAACAGACTGGTGATGGTTTGAATGAGCTCTACACAGAATATTTATAAAACTGCCAGTTTATTACATTATATAAGCACCAGATAAAGTACTTAGAAAACACTGCTTGATATGAATAGTGTTTCCACCACATGATTTTCACCTTAAGCAAGAACGTTCCCCCCCTGTTGCATTTGACTGAATTTCTCATCTCAGCTGTTAAATTTCCAGCTCTGCCCTCATTCTCCAGCTTTTGCAACTGCAGCTGAAATGCAAAATTAGGCAGTCTTTTTCTGCCATATAAATTTTACAGACACTCCTTTTCTAAGTCAATAGATTAAATAAGTCACATTCTTTTTGATTTGTTTGAAAGATAAACCATTTGTTCCTTAAGCATCCAAAAAGCTATTCTCTGCACTTGCTCTAGATTGGTTTTGATGTCTGATTTTTTTTCTTTTCTTCTTTCTTTTAGCATGGTCGACTTGGCAGTAGCTACAGGCCCATGGACTAATTCAGCATACAGAGGGCAGATGCTTTTTATGGATCCGAGTCTACCTTACATGCCCACTTCCTTCACAGGCTTATATATCTAACATATGATGCTTTTCTTGTGCAGAGGCTAAACATTTTATTTTTTGCCATTTGCTCACCACTGTATCAATAGCTAATGGAATACTAAAGCTTAGCTTTCACTTAAAACAAATACTACAGCTTTCACTATCATTTTTCTTATTTACCAGCTTAAGCCTCTCTTTCCTGAAGCCCAATTTGTGACCTTATACCACCTGCTATATTTAAGGGCACTGACAGAAAATGATAAAAACTTTTATTATTTAGGAAAGCAGTGGTATTCTGTTCATTTTTAAACATTTAATACTACCACAAATTGATCTAAGTGTTATATTGTTCTGTTTGAAGTCATAGGTAACCAAAAAAAGTATTCAAAACTCAAGTAGCATTTATATCTCTGAAGAAAAAAAAAAACACAACAACTACTTCAGAAAATGCTGCCCTTGGATAAGTGACTTTGGAGTTCATGTCCTGTTTCAAAACCATACTTAGTCTCAACAGCCTGAAAACTGATTTCAAGTCAGATTCTAAAATGAATTGAGGTGGCCAATCCCCACTGTCCACAAAAGCAGTTCATGACCTAAAATCATGGTTCTGTGCCAGATTAAACCTATGATGGAATAACTATATGAATGACAACAAAAATAGGGCTTTCATCCCCAAAGAGAAACAGCACAGAAATATGACACAAGGTAGTAATCACAGATTGAGTAAGGAAGGAATACTGTTCTCTCATAACATAGGGCACCAAACAAATTATGAGGCAGCTTATTCAAAACAAACAATAGGATGTACTTCCTCATCACAAACACAACTCAGCACTGGAACTCCTTTCCAAGGGATGTTACGGATGCCAAAAATTTACTTGTGTTGAGGGATAGAAAAATGTTCAAAAACTGCAGATCAGTCTATCAAGGATTATTAAAGACCAAAACACAATGTAAAAATCAGGAGCTCCATTCGCTTGCTGCAGGTTGTGAGGATATGCAGTAGAAAAATATTCATGTACTTGCTCTCATACACTCTTTCCTACACACTGGCATTTAAAAAAGAATGATTGATTCAGTTTTACTAAATTTTACAACTTCAAGTGTCTTATCAGAAGCTCTCTACAAAGTCTATAAATTTGTATATTTTCTAAGTCTTGTGATGCTCCTGATAAGTTTAGTTGATATCACTAGCATTTCATTGAACACTTAATATTCAGTCAAGAATAGCCACTAAAAAAAAAAATTATTAAAAGTTAAAAAAAAAAGTGTCCAATGTAAGCCATGTCAAGAAAGCAACAATAAGAAAATGCCACTGCAACACAGTACTTGACAGCTACGTTGGAAAATTCAGGCCAGTCAGCAACTTTGCTCTAAACCCACAACATTTCAGTCTTCTTATTTCTGCTTTACAATGGAAATATTTCAGATACTCAATTGATATAATCTGTTTAAAAAAAAAAAAAAAAAAGATTTCACAATAGTCAACACTGGTACCACATAAATTTGCAAGAAAAAAACAATGAAGTCTGAACTTTCTACTTCTTTAACTTTGTCTAGTATGTGTATTAGTTGAAAACATTTCACTACATTTAATAAATGTATAGAAGAGTAAATTAATTTAGAATGCCCTCTCTAATTATTAGTCATAAAAAGGAATAAGATTGTTTGTAAATTTCCATCTGAAATTTTAAAAAGTGAATATATATACGGAGTTATATTGTATACATATACAGAGGTATGATACTCTAGAAATTCAATAAGCATTCCCATAGCTCTCCTTTTTCCCTCTTGCAAGGATATTAACTCAACTGGTAGAATTCTAAAATGCAGAGATAGAAATAGTACATATAAAAATAGAATATTCTGTCTTCAATCTGTGATTAAGATGATGAAAATTACCCATGTGGAGAATAAGAAGTTCCCTTGGTTGGTAAAAGACCAAAGAGCAGAGAATTCTAACATACCATTTAGCAAGAGACCAACCACAAAATTTGGAGGTCTAAATATTATTCTATGCGGCATTTCTGTACACTATGGTCTATGATACTAGAATGTAAGGAGGAAATACAGGGTATTGGATACAGACAGATAAATGTTAACTTCTTAATTACTTGGGAAACAGAACTCTGCTGAAAGATGTAATTTAAACAATCTACATGAGTGCCAGACTGCAGAGCACACGTCCCTACAATTTTTCAATATACTACACAGTAAAAGAAGCTTTCATCTATAAGCAGCTACATACAATCAGGGCCCTTTACGGATAACAGAAGCAAAAGAAACTCATACATTCAATTCTTCATCAGTAAAGCAAAAACTAAAGCAGTTACCCATATTGTGCCAAGGAATTGAAAAACAGAGAAATAACAGCATTCTATCAAATTTCTGTATACAGTA